TCACTTCTTTTCTGAAAGGACCTTTATGAAGAATGTAGTCCTCTGCAGACCTTCAGTCACTGAACATTTAACGTTGCATCCTGTTCGCTCCTCCTGTCTGTGTTGAGAAAATGTTGCCAGGTGTAAAATATTAACAAAACATCAGGAGCTTATAGATTTTTTTTTTTTTTTTTTAAGGACCATACTAATTAACTTCATTCCAGTTATTAATAATACTGCATGAGAGATGTTCTCATTTTCTTACTATCATTTTCACTAAAACATGCAAGTCATGCTCATCTATATAACGTCTCTGATATCGCTCAGCGGCAACAACAGCCTGCTAACAGGCTTCAGGTGAAATGAAGGCCTACATGAAGGGCCAGTATAGGACAGAAATGTTTGGGGGGGAACTTTGAATCATGCAAAAATGCCATACAGGAGTCACAGAACTATAATATAGGACTGGAAATGCAACATAATGGGTCTCCTCCCCAGAAAATTTTCAGCAATAAAAACTTAATTTCCTGCATTCTGGTGAAACTTTCTGCACCAATTCCTTCCTTTCCTGCATTAATTTGTTGTGGAAATGTTTTTATTCATGTAAAAGGGAAACACAATATTCAATTGGCATGTGACAATTCAAAACATAAAATATAAGAGAACCGAAAACTTGAGAGAAAAGAAACTGTGTTAGGAAGTTGTCAAAGTTACTGACTGGTGCTGCACATTTCGGGGTCATTTTATAATCAGTACCTTGATTTTTTTTTTTTTTATTATTATTATTATTTTTTTTCTTTTTTTTTCTTTACTTGAGTAAAAGAAATAAGTGCAAATTAACCTTTCTCAAAGCATTTTAATTTGCTATTTAATATCAGGGTACCCCCAGGATTCTCTTCTTTTTAAGACCTTTTTAATACCACCTAGGATGAAGTTTAATACCAACTTCACTGCCTTATAATGAAAAATCTGTATGAATTTTAAGCCTGAGAAAATTATTTAAAAAGTTACATGAGTTTAATAAAACATTATTATAATACATTAATATTTAACACACTAGCTTTATGGAGTGTGTTTGTACTTTGATATGAATCAAGGACGTCACTTTGTGTTGAAAAGTGGTGGGACATAAAGGTTCAAATTAAGGGTGTGACGGTAACGTTACCTGTACTACCATATAACGTCAGAGTCGCACCTAACGGATTAAATTATAAAGTCACACACATTAAAAGTGTTTATTAAACTAGTAAACTAAACTTGAATACTTTGGTAATGAAGTTTAATACTTTTAAGGCCTTATTTTTGGAATATGAAATTTAAGACTTTTTTAAAATACTTTTAAGACCCTGTGGGTACCCAGAATATATAAAAAATATTATAAAGTTATTCAGAACAATTTTTACAGATTCTTTCAAAAGTGATTGGAACAAAACTAGCCATTTCAAAAGTGCTAGGGCATCACCAGTGTAAACAACACTGATGCCACTGGTCTCCATAAATGAACGATTAGCTTAGCTAACATTATTTCTAATAACAGTGGGCTAAGTTGTAAAATTGGCAACATTACTGTATCTGACAGGATAGTTAATATTGTCAGCTAGCTTACTGTGTTACATCAGGCTTGCTCTCCGACAGACAGATCGTTCAGCAGTTCAGAAAAAACATCCTAATGGAGTAGTATGTAGCTGCAGTACCAGAGACTGCATTTTCAGGAATGCAGTCCCAGGAACGGAATTGTAGGACCCTTGTTTTATGTGACACTGCCAGCTAGCTTGCTAACTAGCTAGCTAACTATGTTAACTATGTTACTCTTGACCGCTCCCCGAAGCCAGTTACTCCAACTTGTGTTATTACTGACGCTTTCAGACAGCGTGAGGCTGTTGTGCACAGCTGTAGGATTAGTCGTTGTCATGAATTTGGTCGCTGAATTTGGTTTAGGCACAAACATTTCTGGTGGTTATGGTAAGTGTAGGGGGCTTCGGGGAGCTGTAGACACCTTTTTAATACGAACCTGGTCTGTATGAGATGCCCCAGAGTATCTCATACAGACACATCCGGGTGTGTCTCACACAGTCACTGAAGGGTACTTTTAGTGTCAAATAACTACGCTTTGTTACTTTTTTTGAATTTTGTTGGTATTGGACGCCCTGAGATGAGAAAGGTCTGGTTACCCTTACTCTAACCGTCACAGGGGTGTGTGCCTAAACCTAAGTTACTGATTAAATGCATGTTAATCCTACAGTTGTGCAAATGGTTAAACTCCTGTCTGCCTATCCATCTCCAATTCACTAGATGGCGCTGACGCAAAAGAATTATGATCCCAGGACCGCAGGGGTCCCGAAAGTGCAGCCTCTGATACTGCACCTATATAATAATCTCCTAACGCGTTGAGCTGTCCGCAGTGTAGCGGACTTGGAATAGACCTGCCCAGCTCTGCCTCTGATTGGCTGTCAGCATTAGGAGTGACGATTGCTTAGGCATATGCAGCTGTAAAGCTCATGCTAGAGTGGACTCGGTAGATATAATCGACCGAGGATCGACTAACCCTAAATATTATCAGATCGGCACTAATGATGTAGGTGACATAGACGGACCAGTCCTAACACAGCAGTCCCTCCCAGCTGCAGTCAGTCACTCCTCCTCATCTAGAGACTGCAAATGAATCGCGCATACGCAAAAATGTTTAGTGCTACATGGTTGTAGTTCTAAACATGTTTAGGTTTTTTTTATTCACTTTTTGTCTCTCCGACATTATTCCTCTGTCTTACAGTGTCATCACAATTACATGCCAATTATGAAAATTAGGTTATGATTGTGTCATTTAGGGACTTCTTCCGACTTTTAGGGTAGCCAATAGCTACTTTCTTATAGAGGAGTTGTCAACACTGCAACGGCACCAGGAATCATACGGTGTAGACAGCAACAGCGGAGAATTTCAGGAGGCATCCACAGACAAACTGTGCGTGACAAAAAAGTTGGTTGCTGGCAGCCCCGGCCTCAGCAATGATGTTTTACATGAACAGATTTACCAGCTTTAAGCGGTCGTCTTATGTGCATGTGTTCACTCGCACAGACTTCACCATGTACCCATCAGAGGATGGTACATGGTGGCCATAAAGGGATGGACATGGTCAGAAACAATGCTCAGGTAGGCCGTGGCATTTAAACGATGCCCAATTGGCACTAAGGGGCCTAAAGTGTGCCAAGAAAACATCCCCCACACCATTACACCACCACCACCAGCCTGCACAGTGGTAACAAGGCATGATGGATCCATGTTCTCATTCTGTTTACGCCAAGTTCAGACTCTACCATCTGAATGTCTCAACAGAAATCGAGACTCATCAGACCAGGCAACATTTTTCCAGTCTTCAACTGTCCAATTTTGTGAGCTCTTGCAAATTGTAGCCTCTTTTTCCTATTTGTAGTGGAGATGAGTGGTACCCGGTGGGGTCTTCTGCTGTTGTAGCCCATCCGCCTCAAGGTTGTGCGTGTTGTGGCTTCACAAATGCTTTGCTGCATACCTCGGCTGTAACGAGTGGTTATTTCAGTCAAAGTTGCTCTTCTATCAGCTTGAATCAGTCGGCCCATTCTCCTCTGACCTCTAGCATCAACAAGGTATTTTCGCCCACAGGACTGCGGCATACTGGATGTTTTTCCCTTTTCACACCATTCTTTGTAAACCCTAGAAATGGCTGTGCGTGAAAATCCCAGTAACTGAGCAGATTGTGAAATTTTGATTTGTGAAAATGATTTTTTTTGTAATTCGCAACCCTCACCACTAAATGTCACTAAACTCACGCACTTAACCTTTAATCGAGATCTGATGTGTTATTTCAACGTGTTCTCATCTCAGTGCGTCATTACCGATGCTTTCAGACACCGTGACAAAGCATAATTATTTGACGCTACAACTCTTTAGCGTCCGTATGAAACGCCACCATTAGCTACGTTGCAGCAACACAAAGGAATCCAAGTTTTAAAGCTTAGCCTCACGACCAATGTGCTAGCAGGTAGGGTTAGCCGGTCGACATGCATAAATTCAGTGACTTAGGTTTAGGCACTAACATTTCTGATGGTTAAGGTGAGGGTAGGGGGCTTCAGGGGCTTTCAACACCTTTTAACAGTTCAGTTTGGTAGTTCGGTCTGTGTGAGACGCCCCAGAGCGTCTCACACAGATGCTGAAGGATACCTTTAGCGTTAAATAACTACGCTTTGTCACTTTTTCTGAAATTGTTGGTATTGGACGCCCTGAGAAGAGAACGTTCTAGTTATTTTAATTTTCCCTTATTCATTTGATTAGTAATTATAACCAGGACCCTAATGCCCAGTGTTCACCCTCAAAAAGCATTTCCATCCATGAAGACCTCGAGTTTTGTTAGGTACCGGTTGAAATCCTCAGAGCCATTGTCAGATATTACACTGGTGTTGTGGGCCCTGGGTAACCACGGTGATGGGAGTCTCCATCACTAAGTGTGCGTTCAGGTTTAAGTCCCCAACGGGATATAAGAACATGAATCGCACATACATTCAGGTTATCCACAAAGCCACCTTGGTTTAAAGGGAAGTCTTTGCAGTTAACCTACAGCTGCAGTTAAGCTGTGGGTAAGCTAACCAGAGGTGAAGGAAGTATTCAGGTCCATAACTTAAGGAAAGGTTCGGATACCAACCTCACTTTGAAAATACCAGTACAAGTAAAAATCTAATCCTGACTAACGTAAACGTATGAAAGTATCATAGCAACATGTACTTAAAGTACTCACAGTGGAGTAAAGTTTTACTGTCTGATGTTCCTGGATTAATATTCTGCTGCATTAATGTGACTGTTGCATTTTACTGCTTGATGTTTTAACTCCTTCATATTGTGTTGGTAGTTTTTGTCTACAGCAATGTGATGATCTAATGAAGTCAACAGTGCCTGAATAGAATCGTACAGTTGATGAAACAAACCAGTTTTATTCCTGTGGAGTCCTTTTGAAATGTAATTACTTTTTCTCTCTGGATGTTTTTATTGTTTTTAGATGTGGTACAAGTGAAACCTGGAGATAATGCCACTCTGCCATGTCAGGCTGGAGAAGCCTCCATCAGAGCTGTAGAGTGGACCAGACCTGAGCTGGAGTCAGAGTACGTCTTCTTTTACAGAGATGGACTCTCAGATCCAACCCTCCAGCATCCATCCTTTAAGGACCGGGTGCAGCTGGTGGACAGAGAGCTGAAGGACGGAGACGTGTCTTTAATTCTGAAGAACGTGAGCAGCAACGACGCTGGAACATACGAGTGTCGAGTACTCACAGCAGGTGGATCAAGACGTAAGAGAGCCAACATTGAGACTGAGCCAATCAGAAGGATCCATCTGGAGGTTTCAGGTGAGTTTGTGGAGGTCAGTGTGTCTGTGTGCCATGTTGTAGCTGCAGTTTATTCCATGTTGATTCTGAGAGTCAAACATGAGGAATATAGAAGATATAGAAGAGTAAATGGAGGCTGTTCCACTGTTCACTCATTTCCTGACTAATATGCACTTTGATCTTCAGGGTCCAACAGCGGAGACATCGTGGAGGGAAACTACAGACTTTACTACGGACTGGGAGTAGTGGTTTTGTTCTGGTTTGTTTAGCTGCTGTTGGATTGTTTGATGGTGATTAAGCAGGAGATAATCAGCTCCTCTGATCTCTTTCCACCATGTTTCATATTTTCAACAAGATTTTCATTCTTTGAGTGTGAATGTGTAAATCTGGAGTTTGAGGCTCTCTACCATGATGACCTGCTTCATCATTGCAAAAAATTATTTGGGAAGGCTTTGTGTACCCGATCCCAAAGTTGTCGTGTTGTAGATCATTCAAGATGTCCTCGCAGTAAATGATGATGGTGGTGATGATGATGTTAAATGCAGGGTACCCACGGGATCTTAAAAGTAAAAATTATTTTTTTATTTAATATTCTCAAAGGCCTTAAAAAGTATTGAATTTTGTTTACAAACTGTTGTTTTTTTGTCATTTTGTAGGAATAAATAAATACCAAATGTATAAAATGGGGCTGGACAATATGATCTAAAATCAAAATCATGAGTCTGTTACAAGTAATGAAGAAATGTTCTTTTTCTCATGGTTCACCGATAAGGTTTGTTTTATAAATATGTTCAACTATTAGAGGTGGGATATTTTTTTGATTGACAAATGTCAAAAGTTAAATATCTAAATCCAGTGTATTCCATTAAGAGGTCCAGTTAGAGAAAAATTACTCAAGCAAAAGTCTGCAACATCATAATGACTAACTTGCGTTATCATTTAAGTAAGGTTTCAGCTACCACACTCGTACACTCCTTGACAACCCCTCCATCAGTAAATTGATTTTTATGTTGCTCCAAAAGTGAATGAATGTGTTAAGATTCTGCTGGATCGCTCATTTTGGGCTCTTAGATCTTGAGTTGCAATGTTTATAGGAATGCACAGATTTGATTAGCTGAGTAGCATCATATGACATGATTTACAATGCATGCTATTGGTAAGAGTGTTTCCTAGGCCACAAAACCAGTACCATAAATGCTAGAAAGGTTGTACAGGTCATAATGGAAAGACTCCATCAAAAGTTACTAATTCTCATTAATTATAATTAATAATTTAATATAATAATTGCACTTGATCATTAATATCTATGTGCAACTAAAGTTAATGATTTTAACTTGCACACTGTACAAGCATGGTAACAATTACCGCTTGGCTTCCTCTCCTCATTCTTTAAAGGACATCTACGTGATAGGTGCTGTTATATGAGCAGTGAAGTTAGGTCTTTTTAAGGCGTTTTAAATGTGTGTAGTGAGTGTGGCTAATGTGAGAAAGGAAGCAGTAGAACTTGATGGAGAAAGCGAGCGTGTAAGTTGTCAATCTGGCTGTAAATGTCAGTGTAGGTCACAATGTGTCCGTTAATAAAAACCGTGGGAAATGGAAGGCGGTTAGCGCTAGCAAACATCTTCCTGTGCTTCAGACTCAGACGCAATGGGGTACAGAATTAAAAAAATTAATTTTAACATGTTGGTTATTTTATCTTTTAGAGGTTCTGAATTTCAGTTTCTTGAATTACTTTTCAATTAGTTGTCCAGCCCTAGTATTAAATAGTGTGTGTGTGTGTGTGTGTAGGCTAATGTTATAAGTGACTACTTTCTGTCAGCAGTACAATACAATTAACTACACCGCAGTCTCCTTACAGTGTTGTTCTATCCTTATTGTAACTACTGTAACAGTTCATGCAGCCTGTTTTGCTTGAAGCGTGTGGATTTGCAGCCTTAAGTCTCATGAATTGCACATGGTGCGATTAAAGTGGAGTTACTGTGTGTGTCAACTAGTGTTTTACTGTAGAAATAAACCTGAGTATAATTATCTACAAAAAAGGATTAAATAGGGACATGTGGTTATGAAATAATATGAATTATACAAAAATCAAGAGTGCAGTGTGTTATGTAAGTTCAAGCTGATAATTGTTATTAATAACAAGCCTTTAATAAGAAAGTCTGTTCTGTGCTTTGGACAAAAATATTTACATGTTACTGTTGTGTATATTTTGTTAAATGCATTTTTTAACATCATTATGCATTATGATATGCCATATTATGAAATTCCACGCATGTTCTAAAAGTTTAAACTATTATCTCTGCATTTTTTTTCTTAAAACAATGACAATGATTTCTCCTCTTAAGGGAGTGCAATCCTTAGTAAGATATGAGCTCAGGTACAGAAAAGAGTATGGACAGTTTTGGGTTAGGCATGAGTGGAAAAAGTGTGAAGTAATGTAAACGAATTAAGGCGTGGCAGCAAAGAGTAAACGTCGCCAAGGAAAGGGGTATGGCTTTCGTGAGCGCTGAATGGTTGATTTACAATGATTGTGTAATCGGAAAACATTTCAAATCTTTAAAAAAATGTAATCTTACATCTTAAAGTTGTAAACTACACGTGTGTCTATCTCTCTATCGACTTTCTGAAGTTCTAAAGGTGAATATTAAGACTGGATCATCCAAAACTATATAAAACAATGTTGCAGTGAAATTTTATAGTCAATGCAGCCAATTTTAACATACAAAACGTAAAAAGATTGTTTAAACTAAAACAAATTAGTACACAAAGGCCACTGGATGGCAGCAAGGGGTAAGAAATTCACCATCAGAGCTTGGGCAGTAGTAGGAGACTAAGGGCTATAGAAGACAGTGTAACTCAGGTATTTGATTTGAAAAGGAATAAAAAGTCTTTGCACCAATTTTTGTCTGACTCCAGTAAGTTTTTGGACTCCAAGTTAGTGACTATTTTGGCAACATTTTCAAAGTGGTGTTTTGGGTTTTTAGCTGGCCTAGCCCGAACTTATTCTCCATCATTACATTTATTTACGAAAAAAACAAACATATCCTGCACATCAGAACAGCAGGTCAAATGACACACTGGCTTAAATCACAATTTCACTTAATTGTCACTCCAACTAAACTCTCAACTCTATCCTGCCCTACAAATGCAAACAACCTTAACTCGCCAGAGCGTAGAACTGAGAAAAATTACTTTAAATTTGTTTTGTGGCCCGGTCAAATGAATTGTAGGTAGAATATTGAAAATGTGGCAATTCATTGTTTTTTAAATAATGTATATGAATTTATATACATACACATCTTTATCTCAAACATGACCTTTGACCCTTATTTGGAAGTGGAATGTACTTTGCCTTTGCATTGTCTTCAAAATTATAAGGGGGAGACAAAAGGAATTAACTTCAATTTAATAACTCCCTTGGTAGCTTCTTCCTGGATAAAATCAGTAGAATAATATTTACATATAATAAACTAATCATGGCACAGGATTAATTTGAAACAAAACAAACCAGACCGGACTGCATGACATGATTCATTGCATATGTTTTACGATTGCTTAAAGCTGACAAGCCATCTAGTTATTGTTTGTTTCCAATACTTTGCATTCTGATCAGACAGATCAGGATATATGCAGGGTTAGGACAGAGCTCCAGTCTCATCTCGCATCTCCCTCCACAGACAGAATTCATCGACACCGTGTCAGCGGTCGCACCCAGTAATTTATTTCAGGTTCCATCCATTTTTTATTTGAAAAGCAGAGTGTGACACTGAGAAATAATAATTAATAATTATTATTAACTTCTATGTAGGGGTGTGTGACGTATCGTCTACCATCATATCTTTATGTTATCTTTATATCTTGTTTTAATGATGAGTGAGGAGAAATTATCAAATAGGCTACGTCACTCACTTTGCAAAAAACACTTCTGTGCAGTCACTGCATGCAGTACACGTGTGCTAGGGTTAAACAAGCCACAGCTCCAAAAAAAATCAGGAATGAAGTTAAAAATGAGTGCACTATTTTTTTTATTTAATACAGGAACAAACTAAGGAACACTGTTCTCCATGCCTGCATGTACTGAGTCCAAACTCAAAGGGTGAAAAAAATATTCCAAAGAGAGAATCCAAAAAGGCAGAAATCCAAATATCAATATGAACAGGCAGGGTCCAAGCAAGAGATTGTGCCGGAACGTGTGAAATGTGCCATCTGCTGAAAAAAATTATTTTTATTATAATTAACCAGTTGTGATCAAATAACTAATTATTTTAAACGCATAGCGTAACTGCACATTGTTTTAAAGGGCAATCAGAAACCATTATTAGCTACCAAATTTAATAGTAAATAAGGAAATCCATTAGACTCACCCTAATAGGCTGGATGATATCTTGGATTTTATTTGTGTAGAAGGGCAGTGCAGTGACAGAGCGAAAAAGGCTTAAACTCCAGCTAACTCCGGCACAAATTAAGCACTGGATAGAACAGTACTGCAGGCAATACATACAGGGCTAACAACAGAAGTAGACTACTTAAAGGGTGCTTTTTAACCCTTCCTCTTTTAGTTCAGTTGAATCGCACTTGTTGAGAAGAGGGGAGAAGTATCGGACCACCTTCCACACTGTGAGGAGCTCCAACGCGTTTATGTGGAGAGGTTTGTGGGCATGCCACAGATCGCCACATGCAGGTGGACAAACCACCACTGTAGCCTCCTTATGTGTAGGAGGCCCAGGGGGACCACCACGTGAGCCACTGACATGAGGCCCAGAAGCCTCATGATTGACAGGGCCCTCACCACCGTCCATGGGACCACACAGTGGAGCGGCTCCGTCAGAGCACCCATGCTCTCCTGAGAGAGCTGTGCTCTCCAGAAAAAGGAATACAGCATCACACCCAGGTAGGTGAGCCTAGGTAGGGAGGGAATAGGAGCAATCCCCCTTCCAAAATTTCACTGGCGCTTTCCAGAATGCCGTGGTTGCACAGGGGGTTAGACCATGAGCAGGCCACCCCTGGCGCCTTGGGAGGGTGACACTGAGCCGGCAAGACAGGCTCCGGCTGTGACAGCAGGGCAGGAGGCCGGGGGACGGCGTAGTGAGCTGTGCCTGTAGCAGCATTTGGCCGACTATGGCACTGGCAGTCCTTCTTGCGACTGCAGGGGTCTTGCCAGGGGAGTGGCAATTATTTGCATGTTCACAGTCAGGCGAAGCTAGGTTTTTCATATTCTGCGTGAACATTTTCTCTGCTCAGGTAGACACATTGAAGGGCACAAGGCCATGAATAACACACAGAGTATAATCCTTAAGTTTTAGGAATAAAATACTAATCGTATCATACCCAGTGAGACCACAGTCATTCCTTCAATGACTGCAATAAGTGCTCTTCAAAACAAAAAACAGGACCAAGGGCCTCATGTATAAACGCTGCCTATGCACAAAACAGTTACGTACGCTTGTTTTCAAACATACGTCTGATGTATAAAAATTAATGTGACGTGAGAATGTGCGCAAAGTTCACAAACTTTTGTCTCCAAAGTACTGAAACTCACCAAATGTTTCAAAATAGCATTTCTACTCCAGTTTCTGTGCATATGTAATGAAGTAGTCAATGACAAACCTAAGTGTGATCATTTATGTGGATGTTTACTATCAAAATTAAATTGAATGTGAAAGGACTAGATAATGTCTCTCACATTTAATTTCATTTCATGTCACATATCACTTTATCATTTAAACATTCAAACCAGCAGTGTTATTTGTGCTTGCGCTAGTGACCTTTCGGTTGTAAAAGATACAAGCCAAGTGCCAACTCAAATCTCCATCCCAGAACACAGAGGAGAAGGATGGACTGTTGAATGGATTAATCCAGAGGAAAAAACACTCACCTGGGCGAAAACCAAACAACATCATTGTCGTCAACGTAATTGTGGAGCATCTTGGTACTGAGGTTGTGGACCCAACCACTTACAAAAAATTTGTATGCCTGCTATACTTTTGTATGCTTTCATTTGTTGTCTTGAGTAGAAGGATGTCTGCAGGACAAGGTAGTTGCTGATATCTACCGCCTCGATGACAGGCAGATCTTTCAATTCAGTTGAAAAATTGCTCCTCTTCATAACATTAGGATCACATCCAACATATGTTTCAGTTTTTTGTTTATATCTTTCTCTTGTAATAGCGTCTAAAGTAGTACAATGAAATTACAAATTATACATTTGTGTGCACAGTAAAGAAGCAATAGCCTACAAACAAATAATTTTTTTTAAATGCATATACCAAAAGTATAAGCATTATGGGTCACTTGATGGGCACATGGGGGTCACAGTCTTGTTATCGTTATAGCAACACAACCTATAGTAGGTCTACCAGAGAGGGAGCAGGGAGCTTGAGTGGAAAGTGGAAGGAACAAGAGGTTGCTGAGCGGTCGGTGCACTGCGGACTGTCGGTGATCACTCCCTTTAGTGGGATGAAGCCTCCTAATTTTATGCTTGAACCATGACTAGGGGTGTGACAAGATCTCATGTCACGAAATCTCGCGAGATTAAATTGTAACGAGATATCTCGTCAGGTAAACTGCTGTCTCGCGAGACTCACGCAAAGGAAATTTTTCACATGCGGTCAAGCAACGCATTAATTTTCGCAGGCAGTGAAATACAAATGTACAATTGATAAGATAGAATCGTGGAGCTAATCAACTCCGCCCAGCTGATGCCACACCGGCGTACGCCCTGATAGTAATCAACCGCACTGCTCGCGCAGTGAGTCCAGACAGTTGTGACAGTTGTAACGTAGCTGGTAGAGTTTTGCAACATAAACATCTAAAAACTGAAGCACAACCTTGCTCTGTTTGGGACTGTGAGCCAGGGCTGGACTAGTAATGACAGGTGGGCCGACGCACATTTGTAAATTATGTATTTATATAACTGTTTAAAAAAAATGGGCCGACGATCAGCCCATAAAGCATGGACAGCAGCCCAGGGTAATTTTCTATACCGACACTGGGCTGGCCCAATCACATCTCTTACTAGCCCCAACTCCCTCTGCTCTCTGTTTCCTGCGTTACGGCCCCCCCCAAAGAGCTGGGCCACTGCCAGTCTATAGTGTTAGCGAGTGACAAAGTGACGAGCGACTGAGGGAGTGAGAGAGCAGGAGGAAAGTGGAGGTGAAGCGGTAAGCATGGAGTAGCTCAACCTGTTGGGAGGAAGGGTCATTTACACTGGGGACGCTGGGAACATGTAGGCTACCCACCACGTTTTAAAAGCATTTGTTAAAAATGTTCTGAAAAATAGCTTGCCGCAATAAAATTTAATTAACAAATAAAAATGCTATCAAAATAGTTTATTTGCACAGTAAGCCTGCAATGCAAGCAAAGTACAACTGTGTTGTCCAAAAAAAGTAACTTAAGCTAAAAACAATAATAAGCTACTGATTACTTATTATAATATATTTTTATATTCTGTCACCTGCAGTTGCATTATACATTTGAAGGTTGTATTCAGGCTGTCAAACTGACAGAAAACGGACGTGAAAAAAAGATAGATAGAAAGATAGAAGCTAAAGCCTACCAATCTCAAGTGAACCACCTCATCCTCTGACGATTGAGACAAAAGATAACTATATGAACCATCAACACTGTTCCTGTACAGCTGGGTAGGCCTCTATTCATTATTACAATCATTAACATTAGGGCTTTATAACATTACATTCAGTAGGAAGTTAGCGTTAGCTGACTAACATCAAATTAGGAATGATCCACAGTCAACATTTTTCTGGGGTGATTTTAGGTTTTGGAAAAAGAATAAATCGTACTTCCCCTATCAACCTCCCTGGGTAGCAACTGTAACCATTACAAGTTCCCCAGGAACAGCGTTTGACCATATCTCAGGAAAAAATAAGCCAAAAAAAAGCTACAAAACTACTCTTTTTGCATTAGAGTCAAGGGAGCGCAGCCATGCAAGTGTCACACCTCAGTTAGTGAGAGTCCTGTGCTACACTGTGATAAGCCATAAGCCATTACATCAATAACCATAACAAAATTACCACTCATAGATAGTGGGTGGAAGGATTTGGAGTTCTTTGTGGCAAAGCTTGGCAATATATTCATTCTTATGCAATCCATCCATCCGCTTATCCTGCGTACATGGTCTCTGGAGCCAATCCCAGCTGACATTGGGCGAAAGGCGGGGTACACCCTGGACAGGTCGCCAGTCCATCGCAGGGCCACACACAGGCAAACAACCTAGCACACGCACACCATAGCACAATTTAGAGTCACCAGTTAATCTAGTCCACATGTCTTTGGATGGTGGGAGGAAGCCGGAGCACCCGGAGGGAACCCAAGCAGACAAAACGCACAAGATAAAACTAACTAAAATGCACAAAGCTGATACAAAGAGAAGACGAAGAGATCTGCATATCTGATAAGGACTGTGTGAGGTGTGTGTGTGTGTGTGTGTGTGTGTGTGTGTGCGCGTGTGTGTGCGCGTGTGTGTGCACATGTGGTCACATAAAAAAAATGAAGGTACAACTTTTCTGTGAAAAGGAGTTAGTAGCATGCAAAGACTGTGTGAAACAGCATTTCTAACCAATTTAGCTGTGGCTGAGAAATGCAGTTACATAATCTCATGTTAAAAATGATCAATACAATAAAATCTTAATAAAAAACACATTAATGTACATTTACATAAACAGTCCCTTGCTTAGCCAATTTAACATTGCAGTTAGCTATGTGAAATTATGCCAGTAAGCCCGGTACGTTACCAATCCTTAAAGGAAGAAATTTGCTAGTTGTTGGCTGGTATGCTTGCTGTGGATGGAGCTTTTGAGTACCTTGTTCTCTGATAGGTTACTGTGTCAGCCAGCTGTACTTGAGACTGACAAGGAGATTGACTCCCGTTTTGTATTTATATATATATAGATTTATACGTAGGACATCTATAAGCTTATTCTTTCCACCATAACATTGTGTGAAAGCAGGGGGAATTGAGACAGACAAACAGGCAAGACAAAACTCACAGGCAGTGGAAGCTGGCAAAATCCAAAATGCAGACCAGGTAGCGCAGTAACTGGCTGAACACAAATCATGCAACAGAGCGTATACATACTACAATGACCGGACAGGGAATGAACAGAAACACCAAACATTAATACACAGGGACTAACGAGCAGGGCGGGAGCAACACAGGGAAGGGATCAGGACTAGCAAGACAGGCAGGCAGAGAGACAGTAGGGGAAAACAGAGACTGGCAAGCAGGCAGATCAAAAGGGGGAACAGACCTAACACAAGTTACTGAACAATAAACATATCAGAGAAATATAAATGACAAACTAATACAGACACAAGCAGGTCCCTCTAATCTGAACCCGAGTGGGTGTTTGTTGTTAGACTTATGTGCTAGTCATGGATTACACCATGTTCGAGCATAAGGATGCTCATAAGTGTACATGGTACCAGAGCACCCTAGGCTGAAGATCGATGATTGATTTTGTAATCGTTTCATCTGATTTGAGGCCGCATGTTTCGGACACTCGGGTGAAGAGAGGGACAGAGCTGTCAACTGATCGCTATCTGGTGGTGAGTTGGGTCAGGGGGTGGGGGCAGACTCTGGACAGACCTGGTAAGCCCAAACGGGTAGTGCGGGTGAACTGGGAACATCTGGAGGAGGCCCCTGTCCGTTAGATCTTCAACTCAAACCTCCGGCAGAGCTTTTCTGGCATCCCTGTGGAGGTTGGGGACATTGAACATGAGTGGGCAATGTTCAAAGCCTCTATTGCTGAAGCCGCAGCGGAAGGCTGTGGTCTCAAGGTCTTAGGTGCTTCAAGGGGCAACCCTCGAACACCGTGGTGGACACCGGTGGTTAGGGAAGCCGTCCGACTGAAGGAGGCCTTCCGGGATTTGTTGTCTCAGAGGACTCCGGAGGCGGTTGCAAGGTACCGACGGGCCCGAAGTGCTGCAGCCTCTGCTGTGGCAGATGCAAAGCAGTGGGTGTGGGAGAAGATTGGAGAAGGACTTTCGGTCGGCACCAAACTGTTTCTGGAGAATTGTCCACCATCTCAGGAGGGGGAAGCGGTGAACCGTCCAAGTTGTGTACAGTAAGGATGGGACCCTGTTGACCTCAACTGGGGAGGTAATTGGGCGGTGGAAGGAACACTTTGAGGAACTCCTAAATCCGACTGACACGCCCTCTCTAGTAGAGGCAGAGCTGGAGGCTGATGGGGATTTCTTGTCAATTTCCCTGGAGGAAGTCACTGAGGTAGTCAAACAACTCCACATTGGCAAAGCCCCAGGGATTGATGAGATCCGCCCAGAAATGCTAAAAGCTTTGGGTGTGGAGGGGCTGTCTTGGATGACACGACTCATTAACATTGCGTTGAAGTCGGGTACAGTGCCCAAGGAGTGGCAGACTGGGGTGGTGGTTCCCCTGTTCAAAAAGGGGGACCAGAGAGTGTGTGCCAATCACAGGAGTATCACACTTCTCAGCCTCCCCATTAAAGTCTACTCCAAGGTGCTGGAACGGAGGGTTTGGCGGATAGTTGAACCTCAGATCGAAGAGGAACAATGTGGTTTTCTTCCCGGTCGTGGAACAACTGACCAGCTCTTTACTCTCACAAGGATCCTGGAGTGGGCTTGGGAGTATGCCCATCCAGTCTACATGTGCTTTGTAGATCTGGAGAAGGCGTATGACCGGGTCCCCCGAGAGATACTGTGGGAGGTGCTGCGGGAGTATGGGGTGAGGGGGGCCCTTCTCAGGTCTATCCAATCCCTGTACATCCAAAGCGAGAGCTGTGTCCGAGTACTCGGCAGTAAGTCGGACTCTTTCCAGGTGAGGGTTGGCCTTCATCAGGGCTGCGTTTTGTCACCAATCCTGTTAGTGATATTCATGGAAAGGATATCGAGGCGTAGTCGTGGCGACGATGGGCTGCGGTTCGATGGGCTTGGGATCTCTTCACTGCTTTTTGCGGATGATGTGGTTCTGATGGCATCATCGGTCCGTGACTTTCAGCTCTCACTGGATCGGTTCGCAGCAGAATGTGAAGTAGTTGGGATGAGGATTAGCACCTCCAAATCTGTGGCCATGGTTCTCAGCAGGAAACCAGTGGAGTGCCAACTCCAGGGAGGGAATGAGTCCTTACCCCAAGTGAAGGAGTTCAAGTACCTCGGGGTCTTGTTCACGAGTAAGGGGAAACTGGAGCAAGAGATTGGCCGGAGAATCGGAGCAGCGGGGGTGGTATTGCTCTCACTTTAGCACACCGTTTTGACGAAAAGCGAGCTGAGCCATTAGGCAAAGCTCTCGATCTACCAGTTAATTTTTCGTTCCTACCCTCACCTATGGTCATGAAGGCTGGATCATGACTGAAAGGACGAAATCGCGGGTACAAGCGGCCGAAATGGGTTTCCTCAGGCAGGTTGCTGGTGTCTCCCTTAGAGATAGGGTAAGAAGCTCGGCCATCCACGAGGAGCTCAGAGTCGAGCCGCTGCTCCTTTGCGTTGAAAGGAGCCAGTTGAGGTGGTTTGTGCATCTTGTAAGGATGCCTCCTGTACGCCGCCCTAGGGAGTGTTCCAGGCACATCCAGCTGGGAGGAGGCCTCAGGGAAGACTAGGTGGAAGATTATATTTCCACACTGGCCTAGGAACGTCTGGGGATCCCCCAGTCAGAGCTGGTTAATGTGGCTCGGGAAAGAGAAGTTTGGGGTCCCCTGCTGGAGCTTCTTCCCCCGTGACCCGACCCCAGATAAGCAGATGAAGATGGATGGATTTATTCTTTATTATTTATCGAAATCTTATTATTATTTAGGGGGGCTTGGGATAATTTTAGGGCAGAGTCAGCCCCTCTAAAATAGGTCTAACGATGTCCATGTGCACCACTAAGGACTGTGAGTCATCAGACTCTCATCACTGTCAGCAGTCCAGCAAGACATATGATCGATATTGCACTATAATTTTATAACTGAACGATGAGCAGAAATCACGCTTTCACTTTGTTGTCTAACCCTAATGAAGTTGTTTTGGTGTCTAAACCTAAGCAAGTAGTTTTGGTGCCTAAACCTTACAAAATAACTTTGGTGTTTTAAAAATATCCAAAACTGGAACTGATTCAAGGGCAGATGCTGTAGGCATGTCCCGTAGCACATCTTCAAGGAAGTGTGATTCAGGAACAATCTGACAACAACTTGCAATTATAAAAGCAGCTTTACAACAAGAAAAACATTCAAAACAGAAACTACTGTGCTAGTTGTGAGCCAGATACTGACTACAATAGTCAAGACTATTGTCAAGACTATTGTAGTTGAGTCAAGACAGGACTGTCTGTCCAGCCTTGCTGTTGTGTCAGCCCTTGGCTCTGTGTCCTTTCACAGTCCTAAGACGTACAGGTTTTTTAGAGACCCTAAGGTGTGATTTTTCTCTCAGTATGTTTCAGCCCAGTGGTTCTGATAGATTAGTTACCTGTCCAAGTGATTCCCACTTCACTGTGATCTAGCTGTCACTGAGATTCTGATGTCAGTTGTTCACTTTGAGGTGTAATCTGTTATAGACAATTGTTTTTTTCTACATGTGCAAATACACGAAACATAAAGCCTATTTCCTGCTAACTGCGTGCGAGGAAACCACAATGATGCTACAGAAAGAGGAAGCAGGGGGGGTTTTACTTGGTGTGACTGGTGAACATTAATGTGTTGATCTCAGATGACCAAGATTAAAAATGGAGGCATTGTCTTTTCAGTGGCTGCTAGGTGAGTAAAAATCTACTTAATGTGTGAATGTTTGTCTCCATATCTCAAAGATTAGTTCTAAAAATATTTCTGGTGGTGAGAGCAACAGCGAGTAAATAACGGGAATACAAAGACTAAATTCAGCCAAACTGCGTATAAACTGCAAATATATATTAGCTATGACAAAAGAGCAGGAATTTCAGTGGGAATTAATTTGGTAATGTGACAGCAATGAAAGACAAAATATGTATTACAGCAAGTGGTAACAATGTGTAGTTATTCTTAGTTTTGCTTTAAAATATAAGAATTAGAAGAAGAAAATGTTTTTCCAAAAACAAAGGTATTTAATAGGTCTGCACAATTAAATGAAATCTCACATTGCAATATGTGCAACATCCAAATCACAATTTTTGATGATGGTAAAATGTGTTATGATTTATAATTCTTCTTTATAATTAAGTACTGTAGTGCTGCAGAGATGAGAGAAGAAAACTCTTTGTTTGGGACAGACCCAACAAAATGTCACATCATCATGATTTAATGGTTTATTCCATGAAAATTGTGATGCATAAAATGTCATTCCGGCTAATCGTGAATCAAATCACAAATTGAAATATCTGACAAAATAATTGCAATATGATTGTTTTAGCATATCATGCAGTCGTAGTATTTAGTACACTGAAGTGCTTCAAAAGAGAACATGTTGAACACCAAAATGGTTGCACTTTATTTTACAGTATACAAATAAAACATAAGCCGTACTTGGTACCACAATGCAGACCTAAACTAGAAATATGTATATGAAATATATATAACAGCAACTCATACTCCTGTGAGTTCAGAGAGCTGTCTGTAACAATTAAGGACCATTTTAGGATGTTGAAACATTGTGATCAGGTCTTTTACAATAAAACTGATATATGACTGCTCAAGGTATTAACAAGAAGCTATCTTCAATAATAACTTAAAGGGTCTATATGTAGTTTTTCAATGAAATAATTGATTAATAAATCAAATTTTCACTGCTTTATTGTCAATGGGCTCAAACCTCACTAAGAAGTGACACACCTGTTTGCTCTCTTGCTTGCATCGGCTACTATTCTGCTTTTAATGTGAAGAAACCGAGTCGGATTCAGCCCTGTCTGCGCTCCCAAGCCCCTCACCGACTACAGCGTCTACACCGCAGCTAATTAAAAGCAGTCCACTAACACCACAAAACAACCGCTTTCCAACACAACACAGACTCCAACATATACGTAAGGATAAAAACAGCAATAAAGGTTTATTGATGAAGCCTGTCAGACCAAACAAAATTCAGATGATGTCGGGTAAAAACAGTCACTACAGAAAATCACTAACGTTAACCAGTTGATAACATTATCCAGTGACATGAATTGTTTCAATCTGAATTTTAATTGCTCTACTTGAATAATTGCATAAAAAACTGAATCTGAATAGCATCATTTGAAATTTAATTTATTAGTTTCAAATTGAATTCCCCCCAAAATGAAACTGAATATAATATTGAGAAATTGAATTCAGTTGCAACTGAAATTGTATTTGAGCCTCACTAAAAATTCAACTTTTTATGACACTTTCAGTTCTCTCGGTTCAAATATGGTTCTCAATTCAATTTCAATCCACAAGATTTACTTTAAAGGTTAAGGTCCTTTATGCAAGTTATGTTGTAAATTCTAGTCTTGCAACTGTTTTTGTTTCAGTAATGCATGAATCACAAATTAGTAATATTTTACATTATAACTAGGTTAAGTTAGTTACTTTTTTGGTACTTTTGGGGGGCATTTGTTTTGTTGGAAATTTTAATGCGAGTTTACCCCAAAGCAGGGGCTATTCTAGGATCAGTTCTTTAGGGGTGCTCAGCCCCTAATGAGAATGTAGCATACACGCATGTATACCTTTCAAAAGTGTCCACTAATCGGTGGAGAGTATAAGTAGGCCTACTAGAGAGGAGCTGCTGCAGAGCAGAACAAGGGCGTGACTTTGTGTTGAAAAGTTGTGGGTACATAAGGGCTCACATCAGGGCATGATGATACATTTGGGTCATGAGAGGTGATGATGCACGAGAACAAGACTTTTTCAGCAATTTTCAGCACTATTTAGATTAAATATTTGATGTTGAAATATTTGTGAGGGGGGTCTGGGGGTCCACCCCCATAAGATTTTGAGCATTAAACTGGTAATTTCCTGCATTCTGGAGACATTTTCTGCTCCAATTTACAGCGAAAATGTCTGTTTTTATATGAAGGAAAACTATATTGCATTGCAGGTTTTCTTATTGTGCAAATAAATCTTTCTCAGAGCATTTTCATTTGTTAGTTAACATTTCTTAGTGCAGTTTTCAGAACATTTTTAACAAATGCTTTTAAAAAGCGATGGGGACAAAATCAGCCATTTCAAAATGTGGTGGGTCCACAGTGTAAATGACACCTATGGAGTCAGTGGACCAGTTAGGGTCAGACAGCAGTGTGGAGCTGTAGACTCGTCTTTACTCCCTCAGAGGAGGGAGGGTGTTAAAACTGTTCAGTGTGCCGTCTTCTGTATTCTTGTTATGTGCTTGCTTTCTCTTTTAAGGAAGTAGTTTTCTGTTGCTGATTGAGTTTAATTTGTCAAAAATCTAAATGGTTTTTTGGTTGCACATAATCTGTGGAGTAAAAATTATTTCTATTAGTATAATATTCTAACATTAAATTAAAACTAATTTCATAGCTAGGCCTACTGTTAGCAGTGTTGGGCAGGAATGTGCTAATAATACTTTTCTCACTTTACATTTACTTTTCCCAGTAACTAGTAGTGTAACGTATTATACGTTTTTTTGCCTCCTTCTCTGTTGCACTTGTCACACAGCCCTGGGCTGAGTTCAGCCCCAACAAAACGTAGCAAACGGGTGCAAAAGGTTTTGGATTGAACTCGCCCCAAATGGAAAGTAAACCCCTTCGATCGGCGCCTTAGAGCCAATCAGAAATCAGCAAAAATGAGGATCAGTCCAAGTTGGAAGGGGCCGCTCGTATCCCCCCTCAATATTGAAAGTATTTTTGCCCAGACTGACAGACATACAAACAGCATTCCACTGCACCTGATGGCCAGCGCGTTCGCGAATTATTACAAAACATTACAAACGGAACAATGTCTGTATTTAGGGACATTAAACCAGTTTAATGTAAGAAAAGCCATATGAAATTGTAGGTTAATTGGCTGTCACTTCTCTTACTTCTCCAAAATAGTTTGAGGACCAAAACATATATTTGGAAAATAATAATAATAATAATTTTAATTTTTGGAAATTAAGTCCCAAAAAAGGTTGAGAACCACTGACGTAGACTCACAATGCACTGCAAACAACAGACAGAGTCAGGGCGTCATATACCGACGATTTGAGAAAGAGGCAGAAATAGAGACAAACCGGGTGAGTCTCTATTTGTGAGTGAGACGTTCTGGGGCGTCCCATACAGACTGGAAGTGCTAGTTAGCTAGCGGTAGCTACGCTCGTGATAAAGGTGTTGACAGCCCCCCGAAACCCCTACCCTTACCACAACCATCAGAAATATTAGTACCTAAACCTAAGTCACTGTCTTTGGGAATGTCGACCGGTTCCCTTGTGTTGCTGCAACGTAGCCAACGGGGGCGTTTCATACAGACCCTGAAGGGTACCTTTAGCGTAAAATCCTTATGCTTTGTTACGCTGTCTGGAAGCATCAGTGATGACGTACTAAGATGAGAATGTGTTGGGTGACCATATTTTGGTTTTCAAAAAAGCAGACAGTTGGGGCAGGAAGCGGACAGACACCCGCAGTGGGTGGAATGTTGGATATGGAGGGGATTCAGTAGGCTAATTGATGGCACTGAGGCAATGTGTATGGACACACACTCACACACTTTACATTACAACAGAAAAAGGCCAACGTGTTTCTTTCAAGAATAGAGGTGGCAAAAGGAGCAAATATTCTCACAATGGCATCATGCCTCTGGCTAAATCTACATCTGTCCACTGCAGACACTATTGACCTGGAGGAGGAACTAGCATTGTGTGTAATATTTTACATTAAATTTTAAAGTTTAATGTTAGTATAATACTAATATATTCATAGATTACACTTTATTTGGCTTATGTCTGCCTACAGATTGTTTCTAGTAGAGCTATTTGTAATTTTTCAAGAGCTTATTGATATTCAACCATTCAACTGATTCACAAATAAAAACATTTTATGTCTTGTTAAAATTTAATTAGGGCCAACATTAGTGTATGCATTATAATTTCAGATAAAAGTATCTAGCTTAAAACATCAGACTTCTGTCTTTATTACTTTTTTTAGGTCAGTTTGAGTCAGTTTAACCTTTAGCCTGAATAAAACCTTCAAATACAAAATGCAACTGCAAAACTGTCTGCTTCTTTCTGAGATCGCTTTTTCCAAAAATTAGACAATATTTCTTCAGGGAGTGCAGTATTAGACAGCGGTAGTGGCGTGATAAAAGTCCAACAGTTTATCAGCAGTAACTCAGGGGGATGTGGCTTAGCAAAGGGTCAATTGGTTTGAGTATGTTCACTTCTCTATGAGTTGCCCCAGGGTGGTAAAATTTATTACCTCAGTAAACACTTTCACAATGAGTTTATGGTTTCAATCGCTAGTTTCAGGTCTTCTGATGTTCATTTTGTAAATTATGGTCCCATTTAGAGTAAAGTAGACTATAATGCAGGTTATGCTTGTGGGATTATCTGTGATTGACAAGTCGTTACCATGGCGACCTGTCAGTAGAGTGACTCGTACCCTCAGCACTGTGTAAATTTAACCAGCGCCGTTGAAAAAGCTTATTAGGAGTTGGCTGTTCACTTTCTCTGGTGAGTACATTTAGTTTTGAGAATGTTGTTCGCTAGACAAAATTTTCAGCCCTGTTAAAATGAAATACAAACGCACCTAGCGAAGCAAGCTGGCTAGCACCGCACATGGCCGTTAGCTCCACCGTCTCGTCCAAATATGGTCACACTTGTTATGTGTTTTATTTCC